GATGCTGCCCATCTGCATGTGAAAAAGCAAACATATCCATAAAAATCCTGGTGAATGGCAGAAAATGATGCTGGGGAACGTTCCCACTGGCTTGGCTTCTCCTTAGCCCTGGCAGCAGGGCTGTGCCACAGCCAACGCTTGGCTAGAGCCAGCCTCAAACCACTCGCCCACCTCCATGGTGGCTGCAAACCCTCTCCCACCCACTGTGGGTGTTGGAACAAGGGAGAGGCTGTGAGCCTGGAGCTTTGAAAACCTGTTAGCAAAATGCCAACTGGTTGGTCAGAGCTGCCTTTTCTTACAAAAGAAAATGGGTCTGGGATGACACAAACCCTCCTGTATTGCAAAACCTCATCCACCAAGGGGCAGCTTTGGAAACGGTGCGGTTGGCTTTCTGCACAGGGTGGATCCATGAGCTGCCTGAGTCTGGGGTGAGGATGGAGGTGGCAGAACTCACACAGCTGCCCCTGGGATGGACCTGCTGCACGACACCAAGAGCTCGCTTCAGCTCTCCCCCATGTAGCTTGCTCCTGCCATTGAAGGCAGGGGAGATCCACACTTGATAGCCGCACTGTCACCACTCAACTGGTCCCTGGGGTAGTTGGCAGTGATATCCCAGAGCACATGGGGAGTCTGAAGTGCAGCAAATGGGTCAGGCAGATGCTCTCCAAGACACAACACTCTCACTCTGTTTGCTGGACCTTAAAAATCCATCATTCCAACAGCTTCAAAGTTACTTAGATAAACTGACCCTTTGGCCAGCTCTTTGGGAACTGATGGAGCTCTGTGACAGAAGATGGTCAGGGAGAGCAAAGGAAGCCTGTGGATATGGTGACTGAGAAAGGACTGCTGGGCATAAGAGAATTTACCCAGAGAAAGCTTTTGTGAATGCCCCAGTCACTGGAAAACCTTTCACTCGCCCACCCTGCTAACGGAGTTAGTTCCTCCTCCTTTCACCTCACCTCTGGAACAAGATTTATCAATGGGAACAATTTATTTCCAGCCCTCTTGATATGCAATAGCTGCACAGCAGCCCCAGAGCGGGGTCCCATGCTGTACCCAGCACTTGGCTCACCCCAAAAGCCCAGCCATAACCTCTTACACTTGCTGTTTACCACATTCCCTCAGCCTGTGTTGATGCCACTGCAAAGGCTGGGGCTCTCCAGCCAGCAGAGCGTCTAAAAATGACCATAAAGACCAATGAGGTCACACCAAGAGCCACCAGTCCCTGTGGTTTTCTCCAGCAGAACAAGCCCCACGCTGCAAGCAAACCCTACTGATCACCCTGCAGGTCTCATTAATGCACTTCACCCTCCTGAAGATCATCATTTAAAACAACAAAGAGACAGGCAGGTGGCACACCCTTCAATAGAGAGGTTTTCATATGGGTTAAGCACTGGCCTGGAGCCAGACCGCAGCTCTGAGAGCTCAGGGCAGGAGGAAGGGACTCAGGATCTGAACTCCCAATTTCACAACTACCCCCATGACACGCATCGGGACCAGCCCAAACCCCTCATTGAGAAGGCTGAAGCCAGATCTCGATCTGAATTTGGTGGCTTGGGCTAGTTTCAAGAATCACAACTTACCTCTACTTACTATTATTATTATTAATACCAGTGTTATTTGATGCCGGAGCTTTGAGGTTCATTGTGATACGCACACAAGCGGTTAGACCAGAGGCGAAACACGCTGCTGGCAGGAGCAGTGGGATTTGCATTGTCTCCAGCAGCTCCCAGCCAAACTCTGCCTGAACTCCATGATGGGAACACACCACGGGCAGGTCTCCAAGCCAGCCCCCAGCCTGAGGAGTTCACCTTGAATTCCCACAGGATTCAACCTCTTGGACCTTTGCTATGAGCACCACCAGCCAGGTTCATCCCCTGCAGTGACCACAGGCACAGGGCTGGCTCATAGGAGCAGAGAACCAGAATGGTTTGGGTTGGAGGGACCTTAAAGATCATCCAGCTCCAACCCCCTGCCATGGGCAGGGACACCTTCCACTAGAAGCTTAAAAAGTAAAAGAAGGACCAAACTTTGAGTAAAGGGAAAAGAACCATCAATTTTTAGTAAAAGAAGGACAAAACCTGCAAATTACAAATGTTGCTTCAACCTACAAAAGGAGGGAGAGTGGGAGCTTGAAGAGGACCCACTGGAGCATCCCTTTTCCATCCTGACTTCCAACAGATGTCCAAGAGCCCAGCCTGAGCTGCTGAGCATCTTCACCCTGCACCAGAAACCCCTTCCATGCTCCCTAGAAAAGCACCCTCACAAGCAGCATCTGTACTGATACCAACTGCTCCTGCACTTCCTAGAACCTGGCCCAAGCCCCTCAGTGGGCATTTGTCCCTTTAAATCCTTGTCTTCAGCCAATGGTAGCAGCTCTCACTGCAAATGCTCAACGTCCTCAGATTCAAGGAGTGGGTAATTACTATTGAAAGGTGTGATTGCAGCCAAGCCGCTGCCTAATCAGCTGCTGATTTTGCTCTAATGTCTTAGATCACTCAGAAACATAATCTGGAGGTGGAGGGAGGGATGGGGAGCACTAACTGGAATTACTGTGGAAATGCAGTATCCCCTTCCACATCTAAACATTGCACAATTACAGCAGTGACTCGGTTACCTCCTTATTCATCAGGCCAAGTCCCAAGCTAAGGAACATGGACGTATTCCTTCCTCCAGCCCCTTTCTGCACCACATCAAATGTGGCTGACCCAGGCACAAGTAAAGAGGCAAAGGATGCACAACGGTTTGGTGATTTCTTTATCATGGACTACTGACCCTTTGGATCATGTAAGGCCATTCAAGCAATGGATTACTGTGACTACTTTATGACTAGCTATTCCACAGAACAGTGTCTTTAAAACATTGTACAAACTAAAGTACCCTGTGCATGAAGCATGGGGTTTATAAGTGCACCATCTTGTAGACAGGCTGTATTAATAGCTGGGGTCCGGTTTGATGCATTGGAGACCACAAGGAACCATCTGGCTGATTTGCCCCCATGGAACAACTAGTGGCTTATTGAAACTCTGAGCCCCACAATCACCATAGACAGGACCTCAGCAGAGTAGGTGGCTCTCAAAAATGACCACTACACAGCTGAAACCTACCACTGCATCCCTAACAACATCTCCCCACTAAACAAGCCACCCCATGGCACAGCAAGGGCAGGGTCACTTAGCAAAGCGCTGTAAATCCCCTTGGCCAAGCTCTTTGTTTGCATGCCAGAAAAACACAGTGGAAAGCTGATACTGTGCTGAGAACTTCATCCTCTCCTTGCTGCAGAGCTGAGAGCCCATCACCAGCCATGGGGTGCTGGGAGGGAAAACACTCCCCGAGCCACAGCCATAGTCCCACCTTGTGCAAAGAGGAGATTAGAAACCAGGATCTTACACTACAAACAATGGTGCTTTCCTTCTGGATTTCAGCAGATCCATTTCTTTCCCTCCCCTTTTTAATTCATTGATAAAATCCCTCTGAAAACAAGAAAAAAGCTCCTTTTTTTCAACCTATGAGGACTTCCACACATCCCCCCTCCTGCTGTCAAGGGGAGGGTGGCCCTGGGATGCCAGCACATGGGAAAAGGACACCAATCTGCCTTCTCTTCACATGGAAATCACCTTCAGTGAGCTGGCACAAGGGCTGTTTGTTTTGGATGCAAAGCCTGGAGCGTTGGGGTAGATGTAATCAAACTGACCTCTCCTGTTTTCTGAGTCAATGCTCTTGGATCAGGCAAGGCAGGCACAAGATGCTGAGAATTAATCAGCATCTGGAGCTGCTTGACTGGGGCAATGGCACGTGGTGGGAGCAAGGAGCCTCATCTTCTCAGCTGAAGCAAGGACCCCTAATGCTCTGCTAGAGCCCTCCTGAGCTGCTGCAGAAGAAAGCTCCTATAAAACACAGAGCACTCAGCTCCACTATGGAGCCAGCTGAAAGCACTCAGCATCCTTCAAAGTGAAGCTCCCAGTGGTGACTGCAGGGAGGGAAGCACCAATCCCCCCTGGGAGAGCTCTGATTGGGGGTCACGGCACCACATTCCCTTAAAACTGTCCAGTAATGCCTGGTATTTGCCTTCAGACCCTTACCCAAGCAGAGATGTCTCCTCTCATACATGGACACACTCCACAGTCACCCTGATGTACTCTGGTTCCTTCTTTGACAAATGCTGCCAGACCAGTAAAACTGGATTCGATTTTCTTCAGGGGATTTCTTTTTTTCCCCTCCCTATCCCAAAATACATCCGTCCTACCCCAGTAATCCAGAAAAATATGTGGGTGTTATCTGTGCAGTTTCGGGTCATTTTGGGGACCTCGGATTCGGCACTTTCTCAGGGACAGCCTGTTTCTCAGTCTGTCTCAAAGGTCTGGACACCAAACCTGGACCACTAGTGCGAGCCATTAGTGCCCAAAAGAGAACAGATCTGATTCTTTGAGCCAGCTTGGGACAAATGATAAGGTGATGGACCAGCAAAGAACTACATAAAAAGCCCATAAGGAGTTGTATGGACAGCAGAAGACGGAAGGCTGCCTTCCTACAGACAGTCCTTAGCATCTGCATACTCTGAGGTCTAGTACAGGTTGAAGCTCACGCTGAGGTTCTTTTTCTCAGCAGTGTTTTACTACACCTTCACAGCTTCCCATAAACCCCTGGTCTCTTCCACATCCTCTTTGTCACATTTGGCTGAAACTGGAGCAGGAGTTCAAAAGGAGGACGCAGGGCACTGATGAGGGCGGAGGAGACACACATTTACATACTGGTATTCTGCTTGGTTTGAGTTCAGGCACACAAAAGGGATGCTCAGAAGCTTCACTTATAAGAGACTGAAAACAAAACCCCTCAACTGTTTTACACAGAGCAAACATTCCTCACTGCAGGCCCTGGGGCCGGTGGCATGGAGATGGTCCCATCCCAGGACCGGCAGAGCAGCGTTGTCCCGGACAGAGCCGATCCAAACCCCTCCTTTGTTTCTCCTCTCTTTGAGTTTTTTCTTTGCCCTTTTTTTTCCTTCCTCTTTCTTTTCCTCTTGGGTTTTTTTCTCTCCCTCCGAGGTAACAATACCTCCTTTCAGGCACTGCCAAAGCCCTACTCAAGCCCACTCAGATAAGAGCTGGCAGGAAAGGTAACTGCCATCAATATTTGGGTGAATGTTAACTACCTGAGGACAGACTGGGTGGGGGATCACAACAGGCGGTTGCGAGCACCTGGGCTATGTTCAAAAACACCACATTTAAAGTCATCTCCCTCCCCGGATCCCCCTGAATCCCCAAGTCAAGTCTCTCCAGCGTTAGTGGCTGTGTAAGACAGTGCTTAACCAAGTCGGGACTAAGCCAAGAGTCGTGCTCCATGTGAAGGTACGTTTTCATGATGCTTCTCTTGCGGCCGCTTCATTTACTCCCCTTCATTAGGGACTGTAGTGATAGGACAAGGGGTAATGGGTTAAAACTTAAACAGGGGAAGTTTAGATTTGATATAAAGAGGAAATTCTTTCCTGTTAGGGTGGTGAGGCACTGGAATGGGTTGCCCAGGGAGGTTGTGAATGCTCCATCCCTGGCATTGTTCAAGGCCAGGTTGGACGAGGCCTTGGGTGATATGGTTTAGAGCGAGGTGTCCCTGCCCATGGCAGGGGGGTTGGAACTTGATGATCTTAAGGTCCTTTCCAACCCTAACTATTCTATGATTCTATGAAACACTATTGACTTCAGCCAGAGTTTATTTTGGATGAGCGTGAGTAGAATTCGCAGCCCTGAATTCTCCGGTGAAGGGTTTGGAGCTCAATGTTAAAGAAGAGGGAATTGGGGATGTCTTCTTTTCCCCTCAGGTTTCCCATAGAGCTGTGGGGCAGCGGCGCTTTGTCTGCCTCTTCTGACGGCAGCACCTGTTTTCATCCTCTGCTTCAAAGGCAGAAATAGCTTTATATGTTATGAGCAGGAACCCAGGATTATGATAAAGAGCTGTTTCGAACTGACAGCAAATTCAACTGCAAGCCAAGGTGTGTATATATATATATATATACATATGTATGTACATATGTATATATACACACCATGCAAAGATGTATTTATAATGGGCTAATTCCTAACCCCAGAAAATAGAATGCTATTCTGTCGGGGCGTCTGAACCTTGCAGTGCTGTTATTAGGACGCAGCAAACATTTTGAGCTAGAAAAGAGAGAATGGATTGCTGTTACTCTCCGAATAAACTTTTCCCACTTAGCAGCAGATGATTTTCTTTCTCATGTTCATGCAAAAAAAGAAAGGGATCATCTTTGCCAAGCTAAATGGCCAGTGAATATTCCTAATCTGTCCTAGCTAGGAGAGGCAGGTAGGCAGAAACATGCAGAAACCCCAGCACTCCCTGCCCTCCCGATGCCTGTTTTCCTATCATACTCTGCTTTGCTGTATTCATTTTAACACAGTGATTTGCTACTTTCCTTTTCACTGTAAGCAAACCGCTCCTGTGACAGCCCTTCCTTCTCTCTTGGTACAGAAAGGCAGCAAATGAAAACAGAAGGAAAATGGAATAAATGATATGGCCCTGCAAAGTTTGGTTGTTGAAGTAAAAAAAGTGGAATGCTGTTTGTGGAGTAAATAGGGATTTAAAGAGGAATTAAACCAGCTTCTCTGCTGGCCCATAAACGGTGTCCCACACTCAGCAGCATCCTCGGGAAACGCTCATTCCCAGTCACATCCTGCCCTCAATCCATGGACACAGCCACATCCAATGGGAAAGAGACTAGGGCAAAAAAACACCCAAATTTAAGCAGAGCAGACCCAAACCATGGTGGTTTCAGCATCCCCCATGGTGAGTCCCCATCGTGCGTGTGAAGGGACTCGCACAGAGCCAGACACAGAGAGGCGAGGGCAGCGGGTGGCCCCGAGCACAGCCATTGCCTTCCCCACCTAAATGCAATGCAGAACGGGAACAACTTTGTGTCTAAATTCTTAAACATGCCTAAAGATCTGTGTTCTCTGTAAAATAAAATATTGATATAGCTCTCGGGCACACGGCTCTGAGCTTGGCATAAAAGAGGAACTGCAAGGCATTCTCAGTATCGGAGCGCATGCATACGTGAAGCTGTCTTTCGAGATACATATATATATATATAACTAAAACAAATCCCTGTTTATTACTCAGTAGAGAAAACTGCAGGGTTTTTTACATAAATAATCCCAGTGTCAATAAACTCCCCACCCTGAGCAAACTAAAAGGGATCCCAAAGCAGATTTCTCTCTTTCTCAAATAAATCATCGTTCCGCCCGAACATGGACCTGGCAGCTTGAATTTCCAACTCGCTCCGGAGCAGCGGTGGGATGGGAGCTGGAAACAACCTAAACAAACAGTTTTACAAGTTCCAGAAGCAGAAAGCTCCCCCCCATCCCATCCCCCATCCTTCCCCTTTTCTCTTTTTCATTTTAATTTCTCATTTTAATTTGAAGAGCAGGAGGGGTGGGCGCTGCCGCGGTCGCTGGCCCATAGGAAACCGGTGACCCAGGGACATCTGCAAGCCATTAGGACACAGACTTCAGGTAGCTCCCAGAAACACGTGCTGTCCACATTACACCCTCCAAGGATATTTCCACAACTTTACTTCTCCAAATAAACAGTCGGGCTCTCCCTGCATTAGCAAGGAGCTGCACAAACAGGTACAGAGAATGGCAGTCTTATTCCCCTTTCCAATTCTGATGGATTCCTTGTAAGCTGTTGCTGGGCTGTGTAATTTGAACTATCGCTTGGAAAACATAATAGGGCCTGTTTAAAATTAGGGCCATTTATTTATCTGTATGTGACTATGAAACATCAGGTACGATTTGCACAGTTTGCTTCCACGCTACGCCCAAAACTGCCGCTTATAGAAACTGCGTGGAACAACTGGAAATAAAACTATAAAAAATATATATAAATCATAACCAGGGTTTATGATTGGAATAGCTTTTAATTTATAAACAGATTTTATGCCTTCTAAAGCAACGCTACTTCTCTTTCCTCTCACCACACTCTGTGGTGCCACGCGCGTCCCTGCATGAGCGTGGTGCTGCAGCCAACACCGGCAGCAATGCCCTCATCCATGTATAAGGAAAACTGGAATAAAACAGGGAGAAGGTGATGCTGACCACTTGTTGCCAGCACTCGCTTTAGGGTGTTTTAGCTTTTTCTGCAGACCTCAATATTGTTATGAATAAAAACTACATCTTTTGTCCTCATTACCAGAGCTTTACTTTTGGCTTTGATCAGTTTACCCTGGGTGATTCGAACCAGACTGATTTATGTTAGCATTTGATGGAGAGCTGCCTCCAGCTCCGGCTGCCACCCGCTCCAAGGGGACAGCCAGGGGATGCTGTGGCTACGAACAGGGAATATCCAAGAGCAGAGCAACAGAGAGCACAGATCAGGCCAAAAGCATTCAAGCAAATTAAAGGTGCAGCTTGGAGGGGATTAAAATTAGAACTAATAATTCTCCTTTTTTCTCTTAAGAAAAAAAAAAGCATTTTGGGAAGGGCATTTCCATTCTGCTTTAACGGACCCAGATAAACTTTCCATTTTACCCAAGTTCGCAGAGATTCAAGCCAAACGCTGCGAGCAAATAAAGAAATAAATATAAATAACCCCCCAAAACAGCTTGTATGGCTTTGATCTCCAGAACAAGAGCATTTGTGAAGTGCAAGCTTGTGCGCGGTGGTTTCCAGCTGTGGGAGAAAGAGCAGAGAAGGACGGCGAGGTCCTGTTCCTATGGTGGAGCCTGCGTCGGAGCCAGGGAGTGTTAAAGCTCCTCCGGTGCTGCACGGCGCAGAGCTCTGACTCCAGAGCGTGAATGGGAATAAATCCCTCACTGGATTTTCCTGTGGGGAGCAGCTCAGCAAAACTGGGGAGCTGCCCATCAGCACCGCTATTTCCCAGCAAAGTTTAAAATCCCCATTTTTCCCCCCTCCTTTTCTAACTTTTTTAGCATTTTCCTTTTCTTTTTCCCATGGGGAAAAAGCTTTTCTCCAATCTAAACCACCCCAACGCCTTTACCACCATACACAACCCAAATCACCCCCAGCAGGATCTGGCCCCCAGCACCTTCATGTTCCCAGGACTATTTTGTAAGTGGTAAATCACGACGCTGTTTCAAGTGATGCTATTTCACCAGCCACAGTGAGTGCGCAGTGATTTAATAGCTAAAACAGACATGGTCAAATTAAGGCTGCCACCCAGCTCAGCCCCTGTAAATAACCAGCATCGTTTTACAGCAGCACCGAGATCGTTCTCCTGAAATTCTGCATTTCTTTCCCTTTATTCTGCACAGCGAGTCCATCACGAGCCTGGTTTTAGGCTTGAATTAAAGCGCCGTAAAAGCAAATCTCTTCCAGGCACTTGCCTCAGGGTCTTCAGGCTCCCTGTTTCCTTACACTGCAAAAACGGGGGGGAAAAACCACCCGTCCTCCAGCTTTCTCACCCACTCCCAGGTCAGCACTTGCCAAGCTTAAATCAACACAGTTGTCTCCAGCTCAAGCTGTGGCCGCTGGTGTACGATCACGACAGGCCAGAAAAATAGATTCTTTCTGATCGATACGATGATGCAATTACACAAAATCAAGGAATTCTTAGCTAAATTTATACGACAAATGGCAATTCTATCCCCCAGTACATCACCAATCAGCTACTGCTCTCTCTCTTTTTTATCTTCACTGTACAATGACCTTCTGATAAAGACATGTTGGAATGTGAAGGCTCTTGGAAAATAAATACATACAGTACAGAAAGAGACAGGAGCACTGCTCTGTGCAAGGCAGAGCCTGCAAACTCTGCCTGGGAGGTCAGGGCAGACTTGTCTAACAGCCCCAGTCACCTCCAGAACGGCTCAAATCCACCCCAGCATCACAGGCCAGCTCGGAATCATGGAATCACAGACGGGTTTGGGTTGGAAATGGTCTTAAAGCTCATCCAGTTCCAATCCCTTGCCACATTCAGGGACACCTTGTGCTAGACCAGGAAGGGGCTTAACATTGACCTCATGTCCAAGCGACTGTGGTCCCACAGCCCTTGGGCAGGTCACCCTATAACCAAAGCACAAGCTCCTGCATCAGTAACTTCTGAGATGGGGAAGAAACAGCAATTACAGTAGTACCTAAATGGGGAAGATGCAAGATCCCTGCCCTGGAGCCCCAAGCACAACTGAAAAGAAGTGATGGAGATGCATTAACTATAACACTAATACCATGCACTGCATGTGAACATGCTCAGTAGAGACCACAGGGACTCACCCTTCCCCACTCATAGCCCTGGTTCCTTAAACCTGGAGTGTGCCAGGGCTGCTGGGATTATTCTGTGCTTAGTGGGATGCAGCATAATGCTGGCTTTTAATAAAGTGCCATTGTTTAGGAGGAGCCATTTTACCCAGCAGTAGTTCCCCAGCAATTAAGTGCACTGCACCACTCCTGAGATTGCCCCATAAAAGCCACCATCCAAACCCAGATGCTCCTAGATAAATTCAAAGGCACAATCACATCTGACATTTGTATTTTGTGCCATCATAAAAACATCAATACAGTTTTGATATCAAAATTAAGGGATCTGATGTGGGAAGGTCTTGGTTGTTAGTTGGTTTTTTTTTTTTTGGAGAATCCCACTATAACCCAAATCTTGCTGTTTTGCCCCCGTTTGGCACTGCTCTAAACACCAGCAGGGAGAGCATCCCAAAGCATGAGGAGGTGGCATTCTGATGGATGGGGAGGCAGCATCGGCATCTCCCCGGGGTTCCCATCGACCGAGGGAGATTGATCCGTGCTGGACTGAGGTCAAAGGGATGCAGTGACATCACAGCCTCCCTAGTGATGCCAGCACCCGTCAAACAGCCATCCCTCAGCTGAGGAGGAGAGGCACCCCGGCTTTAGGAAAGAGCAAAGTGAATCCAGATCAATGGGAGACCTGAATGAACCTTCCCAGCTCCCACAAAACGTCACTAAAATGTAATTTATTCCAGCACAAGAGACCTGATGCACATCAGTGCCCTATTTGTAAGGTTTGAGGGAAAAACCCCACTTTTGCTTCCCAATCTCCTTCCCCCTCTGCTCAGACGCTCGCACAGACTGTTTCCTCAAACGCAGTGATTTAACACAAGGCAGGAAAAAGCATCAAACAAGGGCTACAATCCACCCCATTCCCACTCCAAACCCTTCCTGAGACCCGGCTCGGCCACTGACGATAAAACAATGTTAAGTCTTTCAAAAGCAAAGCAAACTTCCAGCCTTCTCGCTGTAAAGGCAAACTCCTGACCTTGCGGAACAACGGGGATTAATCAACTTGTCCATGTCGCCTCAACAGCCCCAGGAACAGGAACTGAAAATAACAACGCAGAAGGTACAAACCGCTGTGTGATAACAGAACCGGGGAGCTCTTTTCCACGTCCCTCTTGTTCAGCGTTCGGACTTGTCAAACCACTTTCTTTTGTGAAAGCAGGCTCCTTTGTCGCGAGAAGGCAGAGTCCCGTGCAGCAGACGGGCTCTCACAGTGAAAAATGTCCTAATTGCTACACTTTTCATTAAATCTATTATCCCCCAAATTGTTCCTGTGTTTCTCTCTGCCAATCGGCAGGAAAACCATGGGACAAGGCTGCTGTCACCATATTTTTCTCCTCCAGGTATATCTGTTTGGGTTTTTACTCCAGCTGAGATAAGGACAATCTACTGCCCGAGTTTCCTTTGATGCTCCTATAACAAATACATATATTAAAAGAGATTTGTTGAGCTAAATTCAACTCGTGCTCCAGCCTAGAGCTAAAACTGCCAAGGGAAAACATTTCAAAGTTATCTCCTTTAACATCTAGGCTAAGTTTACCTTTATCACTGCAAACAGCAACACCGAATTCAGTCTGTCTTCTACAGAACCATGCACGTAGCAAAGACATAAAGCTGAGGGAAAGCGGTTTTGGTGCTGCAGGCACGAGAAACCCCAAATGCTCACGAAGAAAAATCCCCCTGTTCTTACAGACAAAGGCTCTGGAAAGAGGACAGGCACTTACCTTTAAACACCCAAAACAACTACTTCCCAAAGGCTTACAAGCAAAACCAGAAGTTCAAATCTCAGGGTAAGGCAGCAAAAGCGAGCAGGGAAATTGCTTTCAAATGCCTTTATTGAGAGCTCCTGCCCCCACTGCCTTTTCCCTTCTTTTTCAACCTTGTGCCATTTCCAACACCTTTCCAACACTTTTATTAACGTTAATGGTGACAATCGTGACACGGGATCCACACCAGGGCCCCGAGGACTCTCCACCAGCACAAAGGCTCCGAATGCAAGCAGTAACTTAAGAGCAGCTCCAATAAAGCACCAACTTTTTAACGCTGCAGCTCAAATAAAAGATTACAGGCTGCAGATTTGGGACAGGGAGACCTGCTTGAAAGCTTCTCCCCCCCAACACACGCTCACGGAGCCCAGCGTGCAGGACAGCAGCTCGCTCTGCACAGCCCGGCTGCCTTCACATGCTCCTACGCTGGATCTCGGTCACTCTCACACCAAGATCCCCTTCTGCTTCAAACCCAAACAGTTATCGCCTCCCGGCTCCCCCCGAGACCAACTCCTTGGAGCAGCAGCTTGCTAATAAACCGCTTGGTACTGCTCGATCTGCTTTGCAGCGCTCTAAGAGAACCCTGGAAAGCTCCCAGGGC